AGGTGAAAAAATAGTGTAATGTCTTTAGTGGCCAAGTATCAAAGCACCAAGTATTCCTAGCTTATATCACTAAGCTTATAACCATATCAGATGTTATAAACACAATTCGCATAGGTGTAAGACAATAATCAGAGTAGACAAAAAAGATGAGACCTTTGCCAGCGATGCAGAACAGGGCTGTTTTGCAGTTAGGTGGAAAATGGTGTATTGATGGGTACAGTGGATAACATTCAGTTCTAATTCAATATTTTATGCTCCCAAACTCAGCAGGGTGGTGTTCGACAGCAGCTCCAAAGATTCACCATCTTACACAACTCTCCCAAAGTCGTAGACTCCTGCTAATGTCCAAGTTCAGCACGGCACAACATGCCAGAAAATGAGTATTTTAGAAAGGCAGTGTAGCACATAATAAACACAGGAAGAAATGAGAAATCCCCAGAGGAACTCAATGGAGAGTGCTCTTAAAGTGAGGATATTTTACAGGAGGCCCATTTTTAATTTGCTTTCATTATTTAATACATTTATCTACGATCCAGTATAAAAAATCTGTATCCATTTCTTGCAAAATGTGCAGATGACACAAAAATCATAGAATGGTAAATAATGAGCAAAGCAGATCTGTTCTACGTGCAATCTAATTTGAATGGTAACTTGACCTCTTTCAAAAAAAAATCCCAAACATATTTTAATGTACAGTTAAACATAACTCTGAATATCCCAGATAGTTTGTACACTGAAGAACTGGACTATATTTTAGAAAGAAAGAATTAGAAAAGAATTTAGAGGTCATGGCTGATAACCAGCAGAGCTGCACAAGAGCTCCTCATTCAATGCAAAACAAGAGACAAAAAGAGAAAATGGGACCTTGGTATTTGCAATCAGGGGACTATAAAACACAAGGATGGAAAGGCAGATGTTCACTGTTCTTTGGAATATTAATAGTGAAAGAAGCGCAGATCCAGCTTCAGTGTTCACATTTTAAAAAATACTATTGACAAACAGGAAAGAGTTCAAGAAAGAAATGCAAATATACTTGCAATTGGCAAAAGCTGTTAGTAAGATCCTAAAAAAAGTAAATCTCAATTCATTTAATTTATCCAATAGGAGGATAAATGTTGATTTGGCTGTGGTTTATAATAGGGCTGGCTGGCTATTCTGTCTCAACAATAGAAAATTAAATTTCCACAAGGATTTCTGTAAAGAAAAAATAATGTTAATTTTCCTTCAGGACAAGCAAAATTAAATAGTTCACTGTAAGCAACTCTGCTTCTCATTTTTTTCTGTTGAAGGAAACTTTAAACTTCACCTTCTTGTGAAGACATTTATCAGTGCTATAGGTACCTGTTTTCTCCTACAGGCAAGCCATAGAGTAATTTGTCACTTAATTCAGAGCTGTATATAACATTACAGGAGCTGTAGTCCAGCCAAGAAGCCTCTGCCTAAGTTGAATAAGGATAGTGTTTGTTCATGCTGTAATTCCCAGGAGCAATGCAGCATTATGGGAAAATATTTATTTTTCATACTGAACTGACACAAAAGAAAGCCCAGGTCAATCAATTTAGTACATTCAAACAACAAAGGTCCTACATTAAAGAAAATGATCATTTTGTTTAGATTGGTTTGTTTGTTTGTATGTTTCCATCCTGGGTTTCCTTTATGTTAATAAGGCTTTTCTCTGTGCATCATGTGGAGTGAAGACAAATGTTGACAAGTTGCATCTGCCCACTGTGTGAAAATTCCAAATTTTGTTCGGTTTTAGCTTGCAAGTAGCTGTATTATATTTCCTGTACCAGGGGGATCTCTGAATTAGTAGACGGAGACACGACATCCAGTAGGTGGAATCCGACACTATATTAATCTGAACTAGACAAATGCCAAGATTTTAACAAAGGAGGGAATTAACAATTTATCTAGGAATGGGATAGATTCTCTTCCATGTGTGTTATTTAAAGATGGGCTATCTTCCTATCTGTTCTAGCTGGTGATTCAATCCCACAGACTGTGTTGTAATAGATAATAACAACAATCCCTCCAGCCGTAACATCTAAAAGTGCAGGAAGCAGAATTGCAGGGAGAGAAACTGCTAGAAACCCTCAGTCTTCAGAACCAAGTAGAGGGATGGTCACGTTACACCATTGGAACACCTTTCCTTGTCCATCCATAATACAGCTTCAGTGTAAATATTTCATAGAAATACCTTATAATTGGTCTGTGGTTTGAAGCCTGACTTAGGTTTTACATTGGTACTGTGTGCCTTGCACTCAAGGAGTCTTTCCCTTGCTTTCTCACTTTTCTAATTCTCTGTTCCAAAACAAATAAATAACCTTGCAAATGGCTTATTCTGGTTCCCAGACCAAAAGAGGACAATTAAAGCCTTATGAAAGTGTTTTTAAATTATAGTTTTAATTAGCATAGAAGTATGGAAATGCTGTATGGCCACTTAGTAAAAGCAGTAATGAAAATAATGCAGTCAACATCTCACCTCCAACAGTGCCACTCTGTCAGTTGACTCCTGTTTTCTGGAGGATGTTGACAAAATGGGCAGAGATGAAAGCCTGCAATAAAAAGAGTGGGATATTCTAAGCTCAAGTTAATCCACCCAGAGAACAGGAAAACGTCTTTCAGTAACAAAATAGGCCTTCTTAAGGTCAATAATAGCAGACTTCATAACTGACAACAGTCTGCTGAGCACAAAGGAAGTGTGACTTTTCCTTTTTCTTTGCCATGGCTCAATAGCTTTGTTTCAGCTTCTTGGTCAGTTTGTTTACAAGAAAAAACTCTTGAGTAAAGAGTACCTTTCCTTGTGCAACATATTCCCATGCACCCTCTGAAATGACTCTGCACCGCTGTGCTACCTGATAGCCTTTCACATGACAAAGTGTCGGGGTTACGTGTCCAGCAGTGCAGCAGGGGCTAGTTAAGGTTTCCAGATACACAGCACTCAAGCAGGGACCAGCCTCACTGTAGGTTTTCCCTCCTCTATTGCCAAATGACAAAACATTAAAAGCTCAGCAGCACGCAGCACCATTAAACTGACGGATGGCAAGAAGTCGTCAGAAAACACGGTTCTGTAAATCTTTCCCTGCGCACATAAAATCTGGTCTCAGATTTCCCTGCCCCCTCCATGCACACACATACACATGCATTTCATAATTTCCCAGGAAGCCTAAACAAACTGCATTGCATTTGAAGCACTACCTCACAAAACAAAGCCCTCAACATCTTATTATTCAAACACTTGAGCAATGTTCATTATGAATTCTCACTACTAATTTCTCCCTTTTTGAAGCACTGTAGGAAAATAACAGTGTCCCACTTTAAAGACATGGAAACAAAGGGGAAAAAGAGCCTGATGTCACCAGGGTTTTGGAGACAGAGCTTGTGTGAGATGCAACTAGAGGCAAGGGCTCACGTATCTGGGAAAAACTCCTCCAAACATCCACGGGAGATCTTCACCCACAGCTGAGGAAACAATGAAAACTCAAAATTTCCCGGGTTTGGTCTCATTCTGTGCTCAGCCCCGGCTGCTCTAAAATTAGACCTGTTTTACAGACTTGGCTTCAGCTGCTGCAGGAAGCAGAGGCAGCCCATGCCAGTCCTGAAAATTTATTATTAATAATAATGGGGAGGCACTTCCAGGCTGGGGGCAGCCCCACATGCCAGCAAAGGCACAGTAGACAGTCCCCATGAGGACGCGTTCACCATCTGCAATGACTGAATGGAGCAAGAGCCGTGCAAATGTTGTTATGATTAGGCCTCACAGGGGATTTTTTTCATACAAGCTGTCTGTTTGTTTGGCAAATCTGAAGTGGCCAGCAGAAATGTATCACCATCAGTGATGCTCCTGTTGGAAAGGCTTACTCAGGCCCACTGTGGTGTGTTTAGAAGGAGAGGTCCCTCCTGAGAAATCATAAACTACTCCAAGTCCCACAGGAAGGTGCAAAATAAGACCCATTTTCTTGTGTGACCTGACAGCCAGTTTAACTTCAGGCAGATTTTTGGTTAGTGAAAGCAGCTCTCAATGGAGCTTGCAGCCCTAACAACTCGAAAGAAAGACATTTGCACATGAGTCATTGGGTCAGCCTTCGCTCGTGCTCCTGCCCCAGGGTAGATGCTGGCAAGACCTGTGCAAAGGCTGGCTGGGCTCTGCTCACAGCACTGCCCTGTACTGCCCAGGCCATAGACATACCCCCAGGGATGCAGGGAAGGAGGGGACAGTCACCCATCAGTGCTCTGGGGCTCCCTTTCCTGCTCTCACCTCTCATGAGATTTGGCCTTGTCGCCTATCATTAGCATTTCCTCCTGGTCCCTGTGATGCCTGGTAGGTCCTGTGTAGCTCTGGTGGGAAAGGAGGTCCCAGAAGTTCCCCCCACATTCCCTACTGCCAGGGGAAAATAGCAGCACATTTTGCATCGCGCTAAGTGTGGGAGCTCCGTGAAAACCAGCATTTCTCCAAGGAACAGCCCCACTTACACACCTTCTCCTTAGAGAAAGCTGCCTTCACTTTGTTTCAATGACTTCAGTAACAAAAACATGCAGCTCTGCCCCATGAAACTGACTGTCATCAAACTAAGAAATTAACTTTTTCTGCAGTGCTATTAAGAACGCATAATGTTTATAGTCCCAACTGTGAAAAATGCGAGCTTTCCTGAGGTTCAGTAATGAAGGACTAGTTTAGCCTCTGGTCCCCAGAAGCAGCATCCAGAATCCCCCAGTTCCCAGCCCCTTGCTTTAGAAATGTTGGCTCAACTGCTAACCCAGAGCCCAGGCACTGAACATAAAAAAAAATCCCTCCAAGCATTCAGTAAACAATGTCTGTCCCCAAAATAGCTTTCTAGTTTTCCTGTAATGTACTTCCATGCATCAGCTTATGTGACCTTGAACTGGTATCATTTCTCACTTGGGAATTCCTCCCTAGTATTTGTTGCTACAGCTCTTGAAGTATGAAGAATGAAGTGCTGGACTCTTACACTCCTTTGTTTCTTCCTTTCATTTATTTTTGCCTTGATGGGGAAAACATATGACTGGATATGTCATTACAGGCAGACAATCTGATAATCACTAGCTGATAGGACAGCAACTCCAAAAACCCTGTCTGCAGCCAGTTCATTCTCTTCCTGTAACATCATGAAACTGCAGGGGTCAGGGATAAAGACACTGATGTTTTTTCCTTTTCAAAAATGCTGCAGTCTGTGTCCACCATGCTCAAGACTTTTGAAAGAGACATTTTGGAGCATTTCACATTAATTTTTGCTTATTTACAACAACTACCTCTTTACAGAGATCTCCACAGTAGGTTGTTTCTGTGGATTTGAGGCGTACATTCTGATGGTCCTTGTGGGTCTTAAACAGCTGCTGGTTTTCACAAAGCAGTTGAACATCTTGCCAAGGTGCAAAGAGGGTGTCCCAGAAATCCCACTACCATTCATTTCTCCTGTAGGAAAGGCAAAGTCAGCTGCATCCTCTTTGTGCGAGGGTGCCGTGCTTCTTGGCAGAGGAGATGCTCGGTGGCACTGAGTCACAGGAGTGGATGGGCGTGGAGGAGGTACAGGAGCTGGTCTTCCCATGCACTTCCTCACTGTCACCTCTTTCAAGGCCTTCTGTTGCTGTCTGAGTTCCTTATTTGCTTTTCTCTCGTGCAATGAACTATAAGATAGCTATAGAACCATAGAGGGAACAAAGGGCCTAAACCAGCCACTCTCCTGTGATGATAGGTGTGAGAAACAACTGCTCACTTTGAAAATTAAAAAAAAAAAAAAAAAAAAATACAACAAAGGACTACATAAGGAAAAAATTGCAGTGCTGGGAACTGCCTCTCGTGCATACCACGTGGCCAGTTCGTCTTCAAGTCTTTTATACCCCAGGGGGTTGCATCAGCTAACCCTGGCCCTTCCTATAGTCTGTCAGTCAGCTCTTCTTTGCCATTTATCGGTGGAGACTGCTTTCTTGTAACTTGATTGGAGGTCAGGTGTTGCCATGCCGCATTCCCTAAGCACAAGCTTTTCCATTCCCAACTGCCACAGGTAAGGGACACATCTGCATGCCTTCTTTTTACCTGTCCTAGACACCCCCAGCTGTCTGATGGTAACAATACAGGGAGGAAAAAGGGAACTATGGGGACAACAGAGGACATCTAAATTACAATAACATAACTATACATTACTAGAGCTTTTATTAATATTCACACAATAGTTATCTTTTAATTGTGAGAGCCAATCATCTCATTATCCATCTATAACATAGGGGGGGAAAAGGGACAAAACCCCACCAAGAGATGCAGTACCTGAGCACTGGGGAGGCAGAAAGTCTGCCAGAGCAGCCTCAGCCACCCTCTGCCTGGGTTTCCAGCACTGCAGGGAGGGCAGGCAGGGCTGCACGGCGGCTCTCTGATGAAAGCGCCTGCGACTTCCATGAAAGCCGACACTCGCTGCTTGCGTGTCCCTGCCACTCCGGATCCCAAGGCCCTGCTTTACTGCAGGAGCTGTGAAAGACAGCCTCGGGCTTCACAGCAGGAAAAAATACAAGGGATCAAGTATACAGAGGCACCTCATAAAGTACCCTTTCAAACCACATGCGGATTTACAAGAGGGAAGTGAGTGGCCCTCGGGGGGCTTTTACTTGCCTATTAGCACTGGCCAGTGCAGGGTGCACGCCCAGAGGCTGGGATGGAGCTGTCTACACAACCCCACGACTTCTTTCAAGAGCAGACAGGCAGCTGCATGCACACCTCTGAGCTGCAGCAGGGCGCAAGAGCATCCTCCAAATTCTGCTCCACTGACTTCCTTAACGCCTCTGTCCTGTGCGGGGGAGACACAGAATCACCCCGAGGGGAGAGTTGGGGCAGCACACGGACAGCCAGGGATGTCCTCTGCTCTCAAGTTCCCCAGGTAAATGTGGGGCTGGGGAACGGGCATGTCCCTGTCAAGCAAAACACCTAGAGCCTGGCAACAGGTAAAAGGCTGGAGGCATAGGAAGAAGAAGAAAAAAACTAGGGCAAGAAAAAAAGGAAGAGCAGAGTAGGATAAAAGAGGTATGGAAAAGTGCACGGCTGAAGGGTGGGTCTCCTTTGCAGAGACAGGGCAAGAAAAGTAGTCCCTCTGGATCATAATGGGTTGCACAGGAAGAAGAAAGGTAAAGGAAGGAGAAACATAAAAGAAGAAAAAAAAAAAAAGCGAGATGGGGAGAGGTAGAGGAGAAGAAGGGATCTGACTAAGGGAAGAAAAAGATAACATCAGAGCAAACAAATTTAGGAGAAAGGAGGAAAACTATGTACTGGAGGAGCTGAGTGGGAGAAGGGAGCTGAAGGAAATAAGCATCCAAATGAAGAGAGATTAACGCAGAATGCTCCCAAAGGAAATGAACTGAGCACTCTGAAACAGTGTCAGACATAAATAAATCAAACAGGAGCATTTGGACACTTGGAAAAATGAGAGGAAAAATACAGGGTAATATACTGTAGCAGGAAAAAAGTGGGGTGGCAAGAGAAAAGAAGGAAAAACTCCTAAAACGGAGAAAAAGAGGGAGTGAGCCAGATAATCCAAGCAGTCCCAACACGTTTACTTGCATTCTTTGAGGTGTTTGCTCTAATGAGCAGTTAGGACAGCAAAAAAAGTACAGAGTAATGCCATCACATCATTTATATGGGCAAGTGGGGATTTTGCAAGCTGGAAGATATATGCACACAATAATTGTGGGTGAAAGCTGGGGGCCAATAATTACAGCAGTGAATCATAATCCTTTTCATAGATTATCAGTTTGATACCCAAGCAATAAATGCATATGCATGAGGGGTTTGTGCTTTAGAAGTGGCAGGAAACTTGACTGCAAAAACAAAGGGAATGTAGAAGCTCAGTTCTCCCTCTCTTTTGGGTGAGAAAGTGTAATGAAATCCACCCTCTCTCTCTCTCTCCCCCAACTCTGTCATGACCATCATTACTAGACTTGGCTGGGAGTTTCACAGTGCATTTATTTTCTAATGGGAATGCACTTACTACAAAACTGAAATTTTCCACAAGAAGATTTTGATTTTGCTGTAGAGAAAAATCCTATGAGAAAAATTTGAACAAAGTGTTTCATTTTGGGCCACTTTAACCCCAGCCAAAATTAAAAAAAAAAATCAATATGAAAGATTTTATTACACTACTATTAGTGGAACCTGGACATTTTCAGTTGGGAATAAAACATCTTTAAAATTTAACAAACCAGTTTACTCAAAAATTTCTAACAGTCGTAGTATCTGTAGCTTTGTAGAGGGAAATACTCTGCGTGAGCATGCATGTGCATATTTATCCCCCCCATATGCCAACAAACAAGTGAATAAAATTGAGGGGAAAAAGGGAATAAACATACAGAGTTTATCTTAATTTTGAGCTGATTGCAAATGAAAGCCATTGGGTAACTGCTCTACTAGGCCATCTGTGTATTTCTTTTTTTCTGAAGGGATTTGGTGATCCTCTGGCAGAGAGGGAGAAGGGAAAGTTGTTAAGCAGTAATTTAGAGCACATACGTAAAAAGAAACACCAATCTATGTTCTGAAATGGTGAAGGGTAGGATATCTACCACAACTTTTACTAAGCAGTTCCTGTGATTAATTACCTTTTTGTTTAAAAATATGTTGCTTTCGTCTTGTCTTTGGCTGCCCAGCGTCATACTCCAGCAGTTGGACTAGATCACATCCTTTGTCTGTCAGGGCAAAAGAGTGAACTGTGACAGAATTTCTGTTCCCTGTGTGCATATTTATAGATTGTGATCAAGTCACCTCTTAATCTTTTCTTTGTTACATAAACAGAACAAGCTTCTCAGGCCTATCACAGTAAGACTTATTTTCCAGACTTTTCATTATTCACATGGCTTTCCTCTCTGAACTCTCTCCAATTCATCCAGCACCCCTCTCCAGTTGGGGACATCAGCACTAAGAACAACATCCCACAGCGGTGCCAAAGGCAGATGCAGCCTTCTGCTTCCTATTTAGCAGTCTCAGGACTGCTCCAGCTCTTTGGAGGACCGCCTTTCCCAGCATCCCCTGCCTGACTCACACACAAACACCTCGGTCCCACCTTCTTTGTAGATTTAATGACCAGATCCACCAAACATTTGCATGTGGTGCAGGAGAGACCTTTAGAGGTGAGTTGTGCTATCCTCCTCCCAACCCCACTTATTGTATATGGGTGCAGGTCACCGTCTTGGATTTGATTTGGGGGAACTGAATCCCTGCCAGGGGAAACCAGTCAGGAAGCTGCTTCCCACACGCATCCCAGCCACTGCCGCAGGCGTTAGGATCTGAATGAGCAACTGATGATTAGTCTGGGGAACTGAACTAAGTCTGATTTGACATCAAATACTGCACCACATGTAGAGAGCCCAGTGTGAGCTGCTTTAATCTGCTACTCCACTCCTATTCAGCCAAATCATTTGCTAATGTAGATATGGTTAGTGATGTTCAGAATCTGATTACTAAAAAAAAAAAAAAAAAAACAAAACCAAACAGGAACAAACTACTTGGTTGATTTCAGTTTCTTAAGTATTAATGTCTATATTTTTTATCACTTTTTCTTCCTCCTGTGTTACTTTTTAGGAGCAATTATATTTAAACTCCAAGAAAAATGTCTTGAATGGCAGAAGACCAGACATCACTTGTTTCAGGACTCCATTCAAAACATCAAGCAAATTATAAATTTCCACTGGCAACTGCATTTTCAGACCAATCACTGTGCAGCATTTAACCCACTTTCAGTGTGACATGTCAATTTCATATCTGTATACTTAATACTTATAATTAAGGAAATATTGTTTTCTTAATCAAATTTACATCATGTGTCAAGCTTAATGACATACAGAATTCAAAGTACATTGCATCAAATACTATTAGCTGCATTTACCATAATAATATTTTAAATATATTAAGTTAGCTGTATAAACATTTATTTAAAGGGTTTTTTTTTTAAATTATAATCTCTTTCACAGAGTTAGTAGCAGTCTGACAACAACTTTAATTTCTCTAAGACCAAAGAAAGTCAAATGGAAATGCACATGACTGGTGTTTTCATCCTATATGTGTCATACAAATAAGACTGTATCTTTCCAGTTCTCTCAAACTTTCCTAGTGTTCAATGTCTACTAGAAAATCATTATTTATAGCCAAAGGAGGTTTTTGACTTGTTCTTTTCAAACTTGTGGACAGAAGTTGTTGAAGCCTCTGATTTAACATACCTACTTTAGTAGCTGCTGTTAAAATATTTTCTTGAATTACTGTTGTAATGGAAAATACATCATGACTATTGCAGGATTATATATTTTCAACTGGCTTTTTCCAACCAACACAGAAAGCTATTCTCATCTTCTCAGTGTTAGTATAAATAATTATACCATTTTCATCCACAGAGAGAAATAGCACTGATAGGTTTTCTTCCCTTAAGTACATCACAAACTTCTTGTCCTTAACTTGTATGAACATTAACTCCGTTGGGCAAACACCTCTATTTACACTTCTCTTGCTTCCCTTGCAAATTTATCACCATTCCTATCTTCTGATTTAAATTATTTCTTGTTGCATCATTCTTTCTTTCAAGTGTTACATGTGGGTTTTTTGTGTAGTAGAACAGCTTTCACTTTAGCTCTGTTGTTTTGGTTTATAACAACTATGACTTTTTAGTAAAATGTTTTTAAACAGTTTGCAATTATCATTCACATTTTTCTGTTTAAATTCTCCCAGTAGATCTGACTTATAATTGTTTTCAGCTTTAGAAAACTGGCCTTTTTTAAGCAGCAAGAATCTATACTACTGGTTCACATTTTACTATTTTTGCACACAAATATAATCAAGGCACAATCTTCTGCACATAAGCAGACATTTGCTTCAGTTCTGTAATCAATATCTCTCTATATGGCATAATTAGGTCAGTTTTTTGCTGAAGAAGTAAAATCTCTATTCAGTCATAAGGGAGACTCAAGGCTCTGATCCACATTTGGCAAAGAAACCTGGACCCCTGTTGTCTTGGGTGAGCATCCTAATCCCTGAATAAGGACCCTTTGAACCCACTCTCCTAGCAAATCTATCCTTTCTTTTCCAGTTTTATTCTGACTTAAAAAATAGAGTTTTAAAATCTGCTAGATTGTAGTTCGTTTTTGTGGTCAAAGTTGCATATTCATTTTCTTTTTATTCACACGTAGAATGAGAAAATTATTCAGACTGCCTCAAACAGATGTTTTATTTAAATCACAAAGAAAAAGAAACAAACATACTTGTCTAATTTTTGCCATCCACTTAATATTCTACTTGTGCATATTATCTTACCCAATTTTGGTACTGTTGCATGAAATATGCACCAGGCTGCCCAACACTGATGGGTCAGGAATAACTGCACTTGTTGGCATCATGTCCTTGGACACCTTCATTCTTTACTTGCTTGGGAGCCTGATTTTCTGCTGAGCAAAAGTGTATTGTCCCTCTTTTAAATTTCTTCTTCATTATGACTTTAATATTCTCCTGGCTATTCAAACCAAGCCCTCCATCAGTAAATAATTTACCTTTCCAGTGAGTATATTATACTCAAACTTTACCTGCTTTTCTTCTTGGAGAAGGTAGACAAACATCCTCAAAGCCATTCTTCCATCTCCAAATGTGGTCAGCTTGCAGCACCCGGCTGTGTGTTACATCCCAGCCACTCTCTTCAGGTTGCCGCCCTCTGCTTTATGGATCCAAATGTATGTCCCAGAAGGCCACCTAACAAATTCATCACTGTCTGTCACCACAGTCTTTTTCTTTGAATCCAGGGTAATGAAACTTAACAAGACCAGTGGTTTAAGACCTCCTCAGTTTCTCCAAGTCCCTTGAAGTTTGTAATTGCTTCTGCTACCCAGTGCCATCCTCTTCTGGTCTTCCAGCACACCATTCATACAAAGGCCCTCTTTTCTAGATGGTCCTCTCCCTTCAATGGGGCTACATTCACTTCTGACAGTGATTCTCAGAGATGCTTTTGCATGTGCCTTCCTCAATGTTCACAGTCATTACTTTCAGATGGATAACTTGCACTCATCATCTGTGGTTTTGTCATTTCTGGCTTAGTCCTGCAGCACATCCTTCACATGGCCTACATTGCAATTTAATTGGAAGCAGGTTGTGGTACAGAAGGCAATCACACACCTGGGATGTGCATCTCTGCTCTGGGACCCATGTCGGCCCCTTTGAGTGGCCTGACTGATTTGAATATGATGGTTTGGGCACAGGAAGCCCAGAGCCTCCAGGGAAGATCTTTCCTAAGACAAATACTTGGTCATGTATCTCTCAGAGAAGCAGGCATTACAAACATTGAGACTGGATTATGTTCCCTTCAATATAATAGAGAAGGTATAGCCAGCAAAATACAAAAATCTTCCAGGGCTTCATAAATCCCTTCCTGTAGTCTGACACCACCTGTATTTGTTGACTTTTAGACATACTACAAGACCCATGTGTTGGATCTGCTCTTTGAGGAGCCTTAAGAGGACTGGTTGATGAATGGGGCTCCAGTGTTTATTTACTTCAGTTTGGTAGAAGCAGTGAGTCAATTATATTGCATTTCGGTTTTGCAGTTCTAAATTGGCAGAGTGCTTACAGCCTATGAAGGAACACATTTTGTTTGTTTTAAATATCTGAAAAAAAATTGAATAAATAAAATGATGCAGTCGGTATAAGATTTATGATGTCCTGAATTTTCCATGATTTTAAGTGGTTGGTCTTGTACATGACGTGTTACTCAAGTATGCAGCCCAATACCAGTCTTGTCTGGCTTTTGAAACAAAAGATCTTTTGTTGTGGTGAATCACAGAGAAAGCTTTGCAGGTCCTGTTTTCATGATGACACTTACAAGCAAGAATTCCCATAAAGTCCCATCACTCTTTCTGGAGAGGAAAGGTTAAGATTCATACAGCAGATATGCTGCTATCTGTCAGAGTCAGAAAGACCAACAATGAAAAAAGAAAAATAATTGCTGAATAACTTCACCTTTTTGCCATCATTTTCCACACAAGGTATCCAATATGTCATTCAGCAATGAAGAGACAGAACCATAAAGTCTCTCAACACCCTTCATCCAGTTACGTGCCCCATTAATTTTCCAATCAAATTAACTAACAAACTGACTGCCTTCTAAGACAAGCTCAGAAGTGAAAATTCTCTTTGTCCTCGTAATGTTGAGAGTAGATTTATGAAAAATACTCTTATTTAATAAACTGAATAGATACTAGAACACATCATTCATGGATGTTGTACAGTCCTGTGAATGCTAAGATCTTTAAAGCAGATACTCACTTTAGCCAACTCCTTGCTTAAGTGTTCCGATAAAATGTATCCTGAAGTCACTGAGAGCCTTTCTGCTTGCTTCAATGGACATTGGAGTAGCTTCTAAAAAGTTATCAAGGCTTAACAGATGAGCTTTTAGAGGCTTTTCTGACTGTTAGGACAAGCTTTCCTTTAAAATAAATTTTGATGTCAGGAAGGCTTCCTAACACATTACCAAGAGGGCCATGAAATGTTTGGCTAATCACAAATCCTTTCACACCAATCAGAAACTTTCTAACACACTGAATAGCTACAGTTAGGTCTGGCAAACTCTTATTTAAAGCACTTTAAGGTAAATATGGAAATTAAGAGATTAGAAAAGCAGTGTGTTGGGTGAGTTATTAACCGAGGTAATCCGGGCCTCCTTACCCATGTGCCACCATATGCTCTACGTTCTTCCTTAAGCTTATCCTAATGTGTTTTCCTTAAGGCTCTTTTCCACTTCCTTAGTTCATGAAATAAAGCAACATTAGCTCGTCTCAGTGTTAACAGATGTTGTGAGGAATTATTTTAAAGTCACTTGTATCCTGTATCTCTCCATATCTTTCAGCTCGATTGCAGTGAATTTTAGGAGGTTTTGCCCAAGAAAAAAATCCCAAAACTATAGGGATTTACACCACACCCTCACTACCATTAAATAAACCTAGCATGAAGCTAAATCAATGCAGACCAAGTATTTTTATACATTTTAGAAGTCTTTTCACATCCTCAGTTCTCCCTTGAACTGGCAGAGATCCAGTTTGGGACACAGTCCATACACTTTATACTGTTCATATACAGCTCTGATTTGGAAAATCAGAGAGTGGTGAAACCTCAGAGCAAAGAGAAATTACTGTACTCACCACTCCCTGCTTTACAGACATAATAACAAATCTGAAGTTTCAGGAGCAGAGCAAGACTTTCTAGTGGATGCTTACATTGTTGTTGTTGTTTTTGTTATTATTATTATTATTATTATTCACTGCCTTTCAGCAGTGTTCCTGCCCAAATACAGCTTCTTAGAAGAGAAATTGTAGTAGTTAGATACTTAGTTCAGTAAAGAAAAAGGAACATATAATGGGGAAGGTTCAGAAGTGCACCTCCAGTAAATTCAATTGAGCACCCGAAATTTTTCCTATCTATGTGAAGTTGACATGACAATAGCAACACTAAGGAGATTTCTTGGTAGGCATGGACCAAAAGTTCAGCAAAGCAGGTGGGAAAAAAATCACACGTACTTTAGTGGGCTGCTGTTTAAACCTCACTTGTTTCAGATCAGGGAACATTTTGTTTAAAATTTTTAATGCCACTAAAAAAAACCCAAACAAACATCTGAATGGGACTGGGTACAGATCATACTTTCTTCTGATTTAGGCTCCCCACAATTCCTCCAACATGAACAGCAGGACTGGAGCACATTTATGTTAGGGCACAATTTGGCCCACTGATGTCAGACATTTGAATACACACACAATATGCTGTAAAAGCAAGTATTTATGAAGACTGGACCGTGAATGTGAGGAGAAGGGGCTGAATCATATTCTCATCATGAATGAGTGATGACACCCTTTTATCCAAACAAAAGAACTAATGTTCTACTGGAAGGATAGCCTGAGGCAGGATTGCTTTAGGAGAACAAAGGCACTTGGTTTGTTGGAGCATATGCAGTAAGAGTGCTGACAGATCAAGCAAAAAACACAGTTTAGCTAAAGGAGGACATTTAGATCTGCCCTGTGGATGGGACCAGGGGTCTGGCATTTACAGATTACACATTGGTTAATGAAACAGAAACTGGTGACAAAAGCTTGATAACAATAGTAAGGGGGGGGG